TTCTTCCATGATGCTCTTTTACATGCGTTTTGGTGCACATCCAAGAATGTACTCATTCCTCTTGGACATATACCTAGAAGTGGAATGGCTAGGTCATGGGATATGCACATGTTTGGCTTTTGTGGGGCTTGCCAAATAGTTTCCTAAAGTGGTTGCATCACATCGGGAGCATGTGAAAGTTCCCGTTGTTCTACATCCTTGCCAGTTCTTGGCATCTTTGTTCTTATTAGTTTTAGCCATTCCAAAGGGGTGTGCAGTGGTGTCTCATTATCTAAGGCCAGCTGGGGGAGAGTTTTCTGCTCTTCCTCCCAACAGGACACGGCTGTGGCTGGTTACTCAGGGTAAGGCTCATCGTGAAGGCAGACTGCTTTTCTACTTCCCCAGAGGTGGGGGGCCTGGCTGCTACCCCTTCTCTAGGCAGTGGCTCTTTGCCTGGGCTTTGAAGGTGGGAGGCATGCTACCTCTACATCAGTGGCCTAAGGCTTTGGCTTCTTGTAAGGGAGAGTTCTGGAAAACGGGCAGGGTTTTGTGTTTGTGAACCAGCAGGGCTGTCTCAACCCTCCTGACTGTCCCAACCTTTCTTTTGAGCACCTGGTAGAGATGTGGAAAAGAACTTGGGAGGATGAACACCTGTTGTGTTTGGGGCTGCCAGGAGTCCCAAGTATTGTGGTCATGCCAGCCCACACTTGGGTTTGGAGAATTTGTTACAAGTTAGCTCTTCATATCCTCTTTGACAACAGCATGGTTTCCCCAAAAGAGGCTCAGGCAAATGCAAAGGGAGAGTTTGTGTGTCCTGGCTCTGCTAAGGGGCTCGCTCCTCTTTGGAATTCAGTTCTGGGTGCCTTGGAACTTCTGCTCTGTGATGGCTGCAAAGGAAATTGTCATTCTGTTCTTTCTCTGCCTTTTTCTCTTTGTTAGGGTGGGAGTGGTGTTCTCTCGTGGCTTATTAAGTCGCACTGTGGTTTCTAATGCGAATTTCTCCCCTGATTAATGGGCTCAAGCACCTTTACCTCTCACTGCCATGTCTGGCCTTTTTGTGCTCCCTAGGCCTCTTCCCCGTTATTCTCTGCCTCTTCCTTTCCAGGTGAGTTTAAGGGCCTCTTGGCCCATGTGGCTGTCTCTGATCACCTCCATTTTCCTTGGCTGCCCCCATCACACCTTGCTCGCCCCTACTCCCTCCCCAGGATTTCATGCTGTTTGGGTTAGGCAATGAGAATTGGAGAAGGATAACGACGTGTTTCTGGTGTCCATCAGCTTTTCATGATCTGGTCGGCTGGGAGAAGTGGAGCAGGCGGGTGAGGGGCAGTGTGCGTGTCCAGAGTGGATTTTCTGTGGAGGAACAGGGTGCAGAGACCATCTCTTCAAGAGCATTCAGGCTGGATCTTATTTCTCCAAAGGCAGAGGCCATACTGCTGGGGTTTGCAGTCCAGGAATTCCTGGGAGAGTCCCATCGCCAACATCCCCAGGGCCTGCTGTTGGCTTTGGTTGTGTCTTTGTTCCTTACCAGGCACGTTTCCTGCCTAATTGAGCCCAAATTGCTGAAAACAACCTTTCTCAGGGTTATTCTCATCCTGCTGGGGATCAGCTTTCCCTAAAACCACGGTTGCTGCTGCGTCTAGACCTGCACGGTTATTGTTCTAAGAGCAGCTTTGAATCCACAGCAGTGCAGCCGAGGGGCGGCTCTGCAGTAGTTGCCTCCCCCTTGGCTTCTGCTCGTCTGCCTCACAGCTGTAAGCCCTTTGTGCAGTGTCTGCCCCTGGTGCCTTCTGAGCAGACTTCAGCTGCTTTGTGGCCCGGAGACAGAAATGGCATTTTCAAAGTGAGAGGAGAGGGAAATGGGAGAAGTGGGCATAGCCAAGCAAACTGGAGGAGGAATGTCCCCCCCCCCCCCCCCCTTGATTAGGCTCTGTCTGCAGCCTGGGAGCCTGTAGTCTTTCTCTCCCTCTGACCCTATGGGCTGCATTTCCCCCTCTCATTCTGCTTTCTGAACATTTATGTCTCCCATGTGGCTGTTAGGGACTCAAGTACTTAAGCTATCACCTGCTGCCTCCGAGGGACATTAGCAGAGACCTGGATCAGAAATGGAATAACTGGGACTGTAGAGAGGCACTCAGGTATGGGATGTGGGCATTTCTAGTGGCAAGTTAATCTGCTGCATCACAGCACGTGCTCCACCTAAAGAGTTCTTTAGTTCAATCTATCTCACATTATATGCAAGGAAACTGAGGCCCAAAGAGGAGAACAATTTTTCTCCGTGTTACTTGGCAGATTGGTTGCAACCAGGTTCCTTAGCCTGCAGTTCTGCAATCTTTGCTTATGAGGTGCTGTCAGTTCTCCTCTTATTGCTGTCACCTCTTTGTAGTGTGATTGCTTCCATATGAGTTGGCCAGGTTGGTGTCACATGCATGAGAGCTTCATGATAGTCCCCCAGCCCTGCCCAGCCATGGGGCTGCACGTGTAAGGGCTCTGGCCACTGACCTAACTGGAACCCAGTTTGGTTTACTGTTTTTTCATCCTTTTGTTTCCTTTGAGGGTGAATATTCTTTTTCTGTCCCTAGGACCATTGCCCTGGGTGTCTTATTTCCTAATTTTTTCCTAATGATTCTGGCATCTTTGATGGGTCAGCCATTCTCTTTCTTTTTAAGATTTACTTATTTATCTGAAAGTCAAGAGTTACACAGAGAGAGAAGGAGAGGCAGAGAGAGAGAGAGAGAGAGAGAGAGAGGTCTTCCATCCATTGGTTCACTCCCTAATTGACCACAATGGCCAGAGCTGCGCCAATCTGAAGCCAGGAGTCAGGAGTTTCTTCTGGGTCTCCCACGTGGGTGCAGGGGCCCAAGGACTTGGGCCATCTACTACTGCTTTCCCAGGCCACAGCAGAGAGTTGGATGGGAAGTGGAGCAGCCAGGACTCAAACCGGAGCCCATATGGGATGCAGGTACTGCAGCTGGTTGCTTTACCTGCTACACCATTGTGCCTGCCCTGGGACAGGCATTCTTGTATTAACCTCTATCCTCCTCCACTTTGGCATTTGCACTGAGCACTGAGCACTCTTGTGGCTGAATCTGTTCTTCTCAGGGTTGGGGCAGCAGTGGGGACAGGAACAGAGGAGGCTGCCTGGGAAAGCCAGGAATATGTTTTAGTGTCAGGATCTGGGGGAGGAAAGGGGCTGGGTGGCATCCCCTGTGGGTGGCTGATGAGTAGCTGGATCCACACCAGAGAGAGAGGTGGCGGAGGAAGGAAGAAAGGAACAGGGACAAGCCCTGAGTTCTGCAGCTTCCCTGTCCCACAGGCCTGGCTGCACTTCCATGCTCTGGGGTTGCTGTGGATGCGGGAGGAATCTTACAGTCAGCTCTCACATAACCTGAGGTCCTTTACCTGCATTCCTGATCCTGTGACCGAAGAGCCTGCTTCAAACACTAGACACCTGAAAACGCTCATAGACGGAGCAGCTGAGGCCCTGCGAGTTCCCTTTGCTTCCTAGTCCCTGCCTTTTGGAAGCTTTAGTCCTGGTCTGTCTTCAATATCTTGATTGCTTTCTGCCATCTTCTCTTCCTCTATCCCCAGTAAGGCTGAACGCCAAACTGTTGCTGTCACACAGTCATTGCAGTCCAACCCAAAGGGCAGTTATAAATATTGGCCTGAGTTTGATGTTTCCTAGGCCATAAAAAATTTCTTAAAGAGGGAGCTTGTGTTGTGGCACAGTGAGTTAAGCCACCCCTTGCGATGCTGGTATCCCATAGTGGAGTGCTGATTCGAATCCTGGTTGCTTAGCTGCTGCTTCTTCTATTTTATTTAAAGATGTATTTTTTATTTATTTGAAAGAGTTACAGAGAGAGTTAGAGTTAGAGAGAGAGAGAGAGAGAGAATCTTCTATCCACTGGATCACTTCCCAAAGGGCCGCAACAGCTAGAGCTGAGCTGATCTGAAGCCAGGAGCCAGGAGCTTCCTCTGGGTCTCCCATGTGGGTGCAGGGTCCCAAGGACTTCAAACCGGTCCCCATATGAGATGCTGGTGCTGCATGCTGGGGCCTTAACCCACTGTGCCACAGCACTGGCCTCTGTTCTGCTTCTGATCCAGCTCTCTGCTAATATGCCTGGGAAGGCAGCAGAGATGGCTCAAGTACTTAGGACCGTTCCACCCCCATGGGAGGTCTAGGTGGAGTCCCTGTCTCTAGACTTTGGCCTGGCCCAGTCCCAGCTTTTGTGGCCATTTGGGGAGTGAACCGGTGGATAGAAGATCTCTCTCTCTCTCTCCCTCTCTCTCTGTATCTCACTTTCCCTTTCAAGTGAATAAATTAATCTTCAATAAAATTAAAAAAATTGTTATGTTTATTTCTGTAAAACAAAATGAAAGTTATTTGAATTGGTAGATAGGTAATTTGGGGAAATGCACGCATGAGGCATTGAAAAAGCAACAAGGATTTTTTTTTTTTGACAGGCAGAGTGGACAGTGAGAGAGAGAGACAGAGAGAAAGGTCTTCCTTTGCTGTTGGTTCACCCTCCAATGGCCACCGCGGCCGGTGCGCTGCAGCCGGCGCACCGCGCTGATCCGATGGCAGGAGCCAGGTGCTTCTCCTGGTCTCCCATGGGGTGCAGGGCCCAAGGACTTGGGCCATCCTCCACTGCACTCCCGGGCCACAGCAGAGAGCTGGCCTGGAAGAAGGGCAACCGGGACAGAATCTGGCGCCCCGACCGGGACTAGAACCCGGTGTGCTGGTGCCGCAAGGCGGAGGATTAGCCTATTGAGTCACGGCGCCGGCCGCAACAAGGATCTTAAAAACTAATTTATTGTTAAGATACCCTAATGGTATTAAAAACACTTGTAAAGAAAAAATTTATCTGGAAATCTATTTCCATGTAAATAGTGCTTTCATTTTGTCTGATGTCCTGTGAAAATTTCCATAGGTATATTTTTAAACAGCTGTTTCCATAATATGCAGTCACACTTTTCATTCATGAAAAGTTTCTATGTTGCTAGTATCTGCAAAATTTTAATTTCTAATTGCTGAATAATTTTGTTTCCTTTTTCCTCTGTAATTGATATTTCAATTGCTTCCAATTTTTGGAATCAACAATGTAGTGAACACTTTTTGGTTTTGCTTTTAAATTTAAAAAGTAAAGCTTCTCAATACAAATTCTCAGGAGTTGGCTAACTGGGTGACCCGGAGGGCTGACACCATGGAAGAAGCATTGGATTTAGAGTCAGATGACTTGAGATGGAACTGTGATTACTATCTATGTGATCTTGGGCAAGTTACACCACTGGGCTGTAGTGTTCTCCCTGTATCATTTTTCACCTGTATCATAGCTCTCAGGGCTTTAATGAGGGCTAGTGAGAGATCAAAAATCTTAGCACAGTGCATATTCAAATTGCTCTAGGTAAGGAGACTGTCAGGGTCAGAGTAACAGCCAGAAGAAATATGTCACCACACCCACTACCAGGGTTGCCTCCTCCCATGTCTGGTAACACAAAAGCACCAAATTATAACAGCTGCAGCCAGAACCGGCACCCGCTGCAAATATCCAACATGGCTGCTGACTAATATCATTATGACATCATTGTAGCAAAATTACATGGCTGACATTCCTCCTCCCATCATGCATCTGATACCATGACACTACCGAGGCTTCCTAAGAAGGCCAGAAAATGGGCAGACACCAAATCCCTGCCCTTTCTTGGAAATCTCTACTCAAAGCACCACCCCTATGCCTCCAGATCACATAAAGGGAGGACTCCAAATCTGGTAGGTAGCTGCTCACTCTAGAGCATGCTCTTATTCCTTCTGAGTGTGTGTTTTCGCTTCACTACTAGATCTTTTTCCTCTACTAACATCTGTTTATGTCTCATCCTTGAATTTATGCTTTGGAGACAAGAACCCATAGCCACTGGAAAGTTATTTTCATTTTTGTTCTTCTTGAGTCACATCATCACGTTCCTTTTCAGAGAGTAGAATCATTGTCAATGTAGGGAGTAGGTGCAGGCCTCAGTCAAACCCACCAGCGTTGCATTTTACGAATTTAGAAGTCAGCATCATAGGCACGATAGGTTATAACGAAGGTAGTTAGGGAAGTGTTGAAATGGGCAAAAGAAATGCTTAGTTACTAAGAAGTTAAAAAACGAAGTAGGCAAAGTACAAAGCACAGCATGTTTTGGAGTGACTGAAATAAGAGAAAGAATCAAAGAGGCTCTGCGGGAGAAGGGTGTGGCCCAGGAAGGGAGTCAGTTCCTGTCTGGGTTATCTCCCACCCTGGTTGGGTTGGGGTAGGGTGGGCCATCGCAGGGGCATGTACTGCTTTGCCTTCCTCTGGGTGGGCAGCTCGCAGATTTCTTTCTGGGCCTTGGCACATGCTCCCTGCCTAAGTTCTTTGTCTGCCCTCCACCCTTAGGGGAGCAGATAGAACAAGGGGAGGAGGGGACAATGCCACACAGTAAGCTCAGCTTACACAGAAACCCCTGCTCCCCTCCCCACCACAGGGGCATTCCATGCTGCCAGGGCCTGCAGCACCCTCCTCTGTCCACATGGGCCTGGCTCTACCAGATCCCAGGAGGCACACACTGCCTGCTTCTTTCTTTCTCCTGGCTCCTGGCTGGACAGCCCACCTCCCTTTACTGGGCTCCCTCTGCCCGTCTCTGTCTTGGGAAGGTGGGTCTTCTTCCCAGCGGGGTCCTTGGCACTAGAGGGACTGACAGGCATTCGTGTTCCAGGGAGCCTGGTTGAAGTGACCCAAGCCTAGCCTTTTTTTTCCCCCTCATGAGCATTCAGGGGTCTTGATCATGGAATGAAAGGGCAGCATCCAAACAACTCTTGGGTGAGCTCCAAGCACCACTACTGCTCTTCCGGAAACTTCTGTGGCCTTAGTAAGCCATAGCTTATACTAAGCACCCACACTGTGGGCTGAAGTAAACAACTGTCAGCATTAGGCAGTTGACTTAAGATCTTGTACAAATGCCTCCTGGGGTGGGAAGACGATTTTTGTATTCTACCAAGGCCACTGTCATCCACTCCCTTGGAGGGAGGCTGTCTGCAAATGGGGAAACTGAAGTCCAGGGAGAGAGAGAGTAATTACTAAGTGTTGATAAGTGGAAGCTGGAGCTTTGGAATTCAGACCATGGACCTCCTGGGAAAAATGTGTTCTTTGCAACCTACCTCAATGAACTGAATAAAAAGCATGAGGGAGAAGGCAGGAACCCCCCCCAAGGTGATGGAGAGGTCCTGGGGGGATGAGCCTGGGAACTCTGCAGTCAGTGGAGCTACCTTGGGAAGGGCTGATGGGGTGGAAGTGATTCAAGACTCTCAGATTTCCTCTCAGTGCAGTTGGCACCAGAGCTCCTTTTCGGTTTCCTTTGGTAGAACCTCCTCCTAGGATTCCTTGTCTTCCAGCTCTTCAGGACTAAGAGGGCTGCTCTGAGCTGTGCATGCTCAGAGGCCCTTGGAGTGTGAGCTTCTGTGAGAGGCTGCAGACAGATCTCGGGTCACCTCCGCTGGAGACTGGCAGTGTGCGTTTCTCCATTCCAGGCCCTCCCTGGCTCTGCATTGCTGTGCTCATTTACAGACATAAAGATCCCTGCTCAATCATTTTCCATGGCTCCCCAGTCCCTGGGGAAAAGCACAGTTCCTGTAAGATCATGGACAAGATCCGAGGCCTTCCTGGACCTGTGTTGGGCCCTAGCCCCTCCCCAACTCCCCCTGCTCCCCACTGCCTTCTCCTGGATTCCCACTTGAGCTCCACCACCGTAGAGAACTTTGTCAGGTGTGCTGTGCCCATGTCTGGAATGCCAGGCACAGAGCTTCTATTCCTTCTCTAAGACTCAGCTCAAACCAGCCTTCCTTTCTCAGTGGCGTGTCCTTTGAATTCCACTCTGGCCTCTCTGCCAGATGTGCTCAGTTAGAGGGTGACTTCCCCTCTGTAGATTCAGAGCTCTTGGAGGATACAGAGCAGGCCTGACTTGTTCTGGTGTCCTTGTTGAGTACGAATCAAGAAGGGCTTTCCTCGTGGCTTCTGGCACAGCCTTCTTTCCCCTGGGCTCCAATCCCTTTCCACACTGAAGCTTGAGAGTTCCTTTGAAAACATAAATGGTGCCATGGTGCTCATCTGCTTAGATCCATCAGTGGCCTCATTCTGCACGCAGAATTCAAGTCTTTATGGTGGTAGCTGTTGTGGTTTGGGTATTAGTTTGCCTGTTGAATGTCTCTCAGAGGCTCATGTGTTGAACAGTTGGCCTCCCAAGTCTACCTTAATGGTTTAAGAGGATAGGAACTTAATCCAGTTATGGTGTCTAGGAGGTGGGTCCAGTGGGAGGTTCTTAGGTCACTGGGGGCATGTCCTCAGAAGGTAATTCTCACATTCTTGCAATGGGCTTGGTTATAAAGCTGAGTTTGGTCCAGCTACTCTCTGCTTCCTGGCTCACCATGTGATCCTTCCACTAAAGTGCTCCAATGTTGCCATCTGCTGCCCTTACCTAGGTACCTAACTGATAGATCCACCTGACCGTGGACTTGAACTTCCTTAACTATGAGGTTAGCTTCCCTCAGGTATTTTGTTGTTATAATGAAAAGCTGGTGAATACAGCATCTCTTGATTCCCTCTGACCTCACTGCTACTGACACTGGAGCCCCACACTGGGTCATTCCAGTTCCTCAGGGTTCTGGGCTATCAGATGACCTGCAATGCTTTACCCTCTACTTAGAGTGCGGTTCTCTCATTTCTGATGTGAAAGAGTCAACCTGGCTCTTTCTTAGCCTTCCTGGCCTGTGAATGGCAAAACTCTGTGACCTGGGAATGAATCCTTGGAGCCACATGATTGCTTTGTACTAAGGCTTGCCAAATATGCCCATGACCTGCATTGGTTATTTCCCTTATAAAAGATGAATAGAAGAGAAACAAAGTATGAGGATGAGCAGGAGAGCAAAAAAGACACAAAGGAGAGGAGACTCCCATCAGCTGGACACGCATGCAAACTCTGCCCCCACACTTATTTTTTGGCCCTATGGGCAAATTATTTAATCTCTAACCTCAGTTTCCTTATCTGTCACACAAGATTAGTAGTAGTTTTTGCCTTATGGTGTTATCATGTCTGTTTTACAGTCTGCCACATGTTAGACACCCAGTTTTACTTATTAATGCATTATGAGATAATGTATATCAAGCATGTAATTTACTATAAGATACAGTGCATGTAAATGAACATTTACTTAAAAAAGTCTACGTCTGAATCTTTTCTTCTGCCTTTTCCTCCTCCTTCTCTTCTTCTCTCCCTTTTATCTTCCTCCTTTGTTCCTATCTTTCCAGCATTTAACACCCTTCATTGGGTGCTTACTCTGTGTGAGACCATATCCTAGAGGCTGGGAAGTATTTCTGAAGAGAAGAATGTGTGTATTGTTGCCTTTTTTCGCTTGTGTCCCCAAGTGAACTTTGAATTTGTCTGTGTGACTTTGCCTCAAATGACAGGCCCTGCAGAGCCCGGAGGTGGGGGCGGTGGGAAGGGAGAGGCTTTCAGCTTGGCTCTACCCACTGGCCAGCAGGAAGTCTCCACTTGTGATATGAAAATGCCCTTTGCCCAGCACCAGCCTGGAAGCTCAGATGTCGGCAACAGTTGATTCATTTTAAGGAACCGGGGTCTGTTTTGCCAAGTTGTGATCCCACTGGACCCCCAAGGAGTGTGTACTTGGAATAAAATCTGAACTGTGGAGTCTAAAACTTTTGAAACTGTTAAAAAAGAAAACAAAAATGATTTCCAGATTCAAGGAAAAAGCTTCATTAGGCTCTTGGAGGAAGGCGTTCATGCAAAATATAATCATCTTGAAATCATATTCCAAAGGTTTCCTTTAGAAAAATCAGAGACCTAGGTGGGTCTCTTTTCCAGAACATTAAATGAAAAGTTGTTTTGTGATGCCAAGTGCTCAGAGAAAATGAAAAGCTTTTCTTTTTTGATTAGGAAAGCTCTTTTATGGCTCATGGATAGCAAGTTTGAACCCCCAGTTACATCGCTTTAAATGTGGATTTCACAGTGATTCTCTCTCAAGTAGAGAGGCCTTAAAATGAGGCACACCCAAGACAATTAGCACAGTTCACAGAAGACCTAGTGGATCACAAAGGTAGTTATGCTGATAGAACATTTCCTTCCTGTCTTCCAGGGTGCAAGTCAGACTTTAGCTTCTCTGTAAACCCTTCCTTATTTCTCTACCTTCCAATCAGTGTCCCCCTACTGCCCCTGGCCTGCACTCTTTTCATGCCAGCCCGTGGCTTCCTGCCCCAGGTTTGTGGCCTCCTCCCCCACCCCCACTCCCCGCCCCCAACTTGCTGCCTTCAGGACTCACTCCTAGTGTTCTGGCACCCCTAGGCTCCTCTCAATGCCTGAAATCCTCAGGAAGAGTATTGGGCGAGGAGTTGTAGCTTGTCTAAGGCGATGGGAGTTGCCCTCTTGGACACAACCCTGATCAGAGGAGTTCCTTAGTCCATCTGTCTGAGTGTGGGAAGGAATGAAGATACAGAGAAGAGATGAGATATGGTCCCTACAGAGGTCCTTGGGAAGGGTGGCTAGCTGGTATAACCAGTCTGAAGGCTCTAGAAGGAAGAACTGCATGTTATAGAGCCTTTCTTGGAGTATCAGGTGTGACTCAGCCGACCCCATAGGTCATCTAATGAAGAGGGGAGAGAGACAGATCCTGCAGGAGATAGCTCCACTGGCTTGAATCTACCTGAACCGTGGGGATAATGAGGCCTGGGGCCTTTGGAAGGCCTG